AAAGAACTTCTCCTAGGGCAATGGAAGCTAAAGAGAAAATTAAAAAAATGAGACTACATCAAAATAAAAAGCTTTTTCACAGCAAAAGAAATCATCAACAAAATAACAAGAAAGCCCTCTGTATGGGAGAACATATTTGCAAATGTTATCACTGGTAAAGGTTTAATCTCTAACATCCACAGGCAATTTATACAACTTAATAAAAGGAAGATTGTATTATACATCCTAAACTTACACAATGCTGTATATTAATAACATCACAATAAAATCGGGGGAAAAACAAAAGCGCTCAAAACACAAATAGGGTAATCCCAGACAGAAAACGAGCCTTTATCCTAAAAGCAAAGAACTTAATATACTAATAAAGGAAAACACACACACACACACACACACACAACCCAACCCCAAGGAGCAGAGGGACTTAGAGGAGACACTGAAAAATCTCATTTCCTGGTATTTTTCAGAGGACAGTAAAAAAAATCTACTCTCCAATTACTTCTTGACTAGGCAGAATGCTATTAAGGCAGGATCTAAGGCAGGATGTAAAGATCCTATAGAACTTCATTTTATAACACGACTCACATTCTTTATTTCAATAAAAAGCAGGCTACAATTCTTGAAGCTAATAGAATCTTCTTTGAGGACTGCTCTGGAGTATAGCAGTTAAAAAGGAAAGGCTTTCTTTTTTTATTATCTGCATATCTCCTATTATATTTAAGACCTAACACAAAAATGGAAGACAGTACTTTGTGGTTATGACTATAACATAAAATCATAACTGTTGGTTCCAATGATCCCAAGAGGGTCAACAGGCATTTACCTTCTTGCTACTACTCTTGTTCATCTAATATATTACTTATTTATACACTTATTGCTGTAGCATCGAAGTGCTAATATACAAAGCTAAAAACATATAAATTATTTAAATCCAATAAAGTAATGGAAATAAAAAATAAAAAAGAGGAAAGAAAGATATTGATAACTTTAATGCAAAGCTCCTGGGAAAGGTCCTAATAAGTGAAAGGGTTTTGAATCAAGAAAAAACCCATTTAAATAAATATACAATTATTATATATATCTCAATCAGTAGTCAGCCAATTCTTATAGAAAACTAACACTGTATAACACCTTCAGCAAGGGAATATAAAAGAAAGAGATGAGGCCCAAGTGGCTTAGTTGGGCATTTGACCTATGAACCAGGAGGTCATGGTTTGATTCCTGGTCAGGGCACATTACTCTCTCATCACTGATATTTCTCTCTCTCTCTCTTTCTCTCTCCCTCCCTCCCTCCCTCTTTCTCCCTCCTTCCCTTCCTCTTTCTCTCTCCCTCCCTCCCTCCCTCCCTCCCCCCATTCCTCCCTCCCCTCCCTCCCTCCCTCCCTTCCTCCCGCCCTCCCTCCCTCCCTCCCTCCCTCCCTCCCTCCTTCCCTCCCTCCCTCCCTCCTTCCCTCCTTCCTTTCTTCTCTGGAATCAATAAGAATATATTTTTTTTAAAAGAAAGAAAGAGGTGAGGAATTATATTTGTAAAACATAAAATGACAGAAGAGATGGGTGACTGTAACCAGTAGATGTGTCAAAGACAAACTTTGAGGAAGCAGAGGATATGGCCTGTGAGCTGGACACCCAATAAGCAATGACTATGGGAGGACAAATGGGCAGCTGTTCATGGACCTTGAAAGCCCCCATCTTTTTTTTTTTTAATGTACTTTTTCTTGATTTCAGGGTAGGCTGCCTCCTGCCCACCCCCTAACTGGGATCGAGCCCGCAACCCAGGCATGTGGAATCGAACCGTGACCTCTGATCCATAGGTCTATGCCACCATTTGTATAAAAAGGCCTCCCTCTTGTATAAAAAAGATTCTTAGAGCTTGGAAACAAGTTAATCACTCCATTTACCAGCTTTCATCAACAGCCTTGGTTTAAGTTCTCTACCAATGCTAGGAGGCGATGTAGTAAAGCAGAAAGAGATATCCCATGAGGTGCTTTGGATTCAGGACAAGATGAGATTAAATATGCAAAGTACTGAATACTAGTTATTAAATAATTGTTAGTTTTCTTATGCTATGCCAGAGATGACTTCAAGATTTGTGTTCCACTGAGAAGTCACTGCCCAGCCTGAAAGCGACCTATTTCCTAGTCCTATTAAAGTGACTGTGGCAATGGACTATAGTTCTCTCTTGGGTAATGCAAGTGGAAGAGATGTTCACTATGCCTAGGCCCAGTTGTTCAGAACCAGGAATACTTTCTATTCTCTCCCCATCTGCCAGCTAGGTGCAGGTGATGCTGAAGAGGCCCTAGGTGAGGGCAGAACCACAGAAGATGGCAGGTTCCACCATTACCTGTAGAGACCACTTGAAAGCCAGAAACACCTACATTGACTGTTACATGGCTGAGAAATAAACTACTGTCTTAAACCACTGAAATGTTGAAGCCACTATTTGTTAAGTAGCAAGTGTTGCCCTAACCAATATAAACATGCTATATGATAATATTACGATAACGGTGAGGCTGTCAGACATTGCATCAAATAACCATCATTAAAACTATTACCAAATCTTGTCCAAAAAGTAAATGAAAAGATGTTCCACATTATTAGCCATCAAAAAACAAAAAAACAAATCAAAACCACAATGAGATGCCACTTCACTCCCACTAGAATGGCTATGAACAAAAAGATAGTCAATAGTAATTTCTGGCAAGAATGTGGAGAAACTGGAATCCTCATACATTGCTGGTGGGAACACAAAATGGTGCCACTGCCGTGGAAAAGTTTGGCAGTTCCTCAAAAACTTAAACCATATCACCCAGCAATTCTCCAGTTCTAGGTATATGCCCAAGAGAACTGAAAGCATACAGTCACACAAAAAATTGTACCAAGAATGTTCAAAGCAGCACTATATATAATAGCCTAAAAATAAGACAATTGTGTGGCTTAGCAGTTGAGTGTCGACACAGGAACCAAGAGGTCACCAATTCAATTTCCATCAGGGCATATGCCTGGATTGCAGGCTCAGTCCCCAGTACAGAGTATGAAGGAGGCAGCGGATCAATGATTATCTCTCATCATTAATGTTTCTCTCTCTCTCTCCCTCTCCCTTCCTCTTTGAAATGAAGAAATGTGTGTGTGTGTGTGTGTGTGTGTGTGTGTGTGTGTATACATATATATAAATAAATAAAGTAAGCCCTAACTGGTTTGGCTCGCTGGATAGAGCGTCAGCCTGGGGACTGAAGGGTCCCAGGAATGATTTCGGTCAAGGGCATGTACCTTGGTTGCAGACACATCCCCAGTAGGGATTGTGCAGGAGGCAGCTGGTCGATGCTTCTCTCTCACTGATGTTTCTAACTCTCCTTACCCCTCCCTTCCTCTGTAAAAAATCAATAAAATATATTTAAAAAGTAAAACAATTCAAATGTTCATAAAATGATGAATGGATAAACAAAATGTGATATAGATCTCCATATGATTAAATATTATTCAGCCATTAAAAGGAATGTAATGCTGATACATGCTATAACATGAAAACTAATACTAAGTGAAAGAAGCTGGAAACAAAAGATCACTTACCATATGATTCTATTATATGAACTATCCAGAATATGCAAACCCATAGAAATAAAAAGTAGAATATTGGGTGCTGGGGCTGAGGGAGCTGAAGGGAAATGGGAGACTGCTAATGGGTAAGATTCTTTTGGGTGTGATGAAAATGATCCTAAACATTAAATAGTAGTTCTGGCAGCATAGTGAATATACTAAAAACCACTCAACTGTATGATTTAAAAGGGTGAAGATAATTTGGCTCTACATAGAAAAGTACTGAGCTTTTCTGAAGTAATGACTGGTAAAGGGTATGAGGGAACCATATAGACCAGTGGTTCCCAACCTTTTTTTGGCCATGCCCTATCTAAGCATCTCTGAAATCCTGATGCCCACACTCCCTGATATATAATTCTTATTATTTCAAAAAGTGAATTGTTATTCACGTGGAGGAAGCCTAAAAGGCCATTAACTTGGTCTAAACAAACTTCCAAAGAATATGGCATCCATGAAAGAGAAAAATAAAAGGACAAAAGGAAAGTTGAAGTAATGAGGAAGAAATCACTAAGAAATTGTTTAAAAAATAATAGTAATAAGAAGTTATATGAACAAATAGCAAATAAAGTTTAAAAACATATAATAGAGAACCGAAATGCATAAATGTCACAATATATATTTATATATTGTATATGAGGCCCTTAGAACCATAAGAAATGCAAAAAGTTCACTGTTAATAACTCATTCTTGAATTGCCTCCCTTAAAAATCAAACTGCCCTCTGTGGGGCGTGTGCTCCACGCTGGCACCACTGGTCTAGATGGTCATTCAATCTGAGTGGTAGTTACATGAGTATATACACATGTAAATGTTCATTCCAGGCATAAGTCTAGGCTGGTCAGAACGAGCAGAATCCTGCCTCCTGGCCTCCCCACACCAGGTCAGCTCAAACAGCCCCAATGCCCCATGCATGAAATACCCCTGTTTGACTATAAAGAACCTAAGCTACAAACTTTCCTTAATTTGGGTAATAGCGAACATAGACATGAGATAAGTATTTAAAGCTACCTCTGAGAATGGTATGAGGGTGGGGAACAGGACAGAGTTCCAGAATAATGACTGAAGTGTATATTGCTTCAGCAAAATTCTCTAGGGAAGAAAAAGTTCTAAAGGGGTAGTGTGGGATGTGGAGGGAGGACACAAGACAGAATTGTATATGGAAAATATATTTCCCCCCTGCTTATTAGTACATGCCATTTTCAAAAATCAAGTTCAAATCACAAAATAAGAAGAGCTTGTTTGGTCATATAAAGTAAATTCTCATCTAAGTACTTAATAGGATCATGAGAATGTTTCAAATTCCAAACAAGATATAATCTGGTGATTCTATGACTCTTCATGGGAACCTTCTGAATCCATTGGAAAGACTGTCTTTAAATTGGAACACATCTCTCAAAGGATGTCACTTACTTGCAGGAGACTTTAGTTCTGTCGGCCACCATGGTCCACTGTTGCTGGTTGGTGGAAACCTCAATGTAGTAGCTGTAGCTTCGATCATCACAGTCCCAAAGTAATAACCTGAACAAAGGGAATACAAGGATGCTGTGAAATGTCCTCACTGGCCAGAGGGAGTTCCTGTCTACTCTCCATCCCACCTGCCCCTTTGCCCCAACACACTTCAAGGACTGGGGAAAGAAAGGCAATCCCCCAACAAAAGTTTGATGGGAGAGGGCAGAGTCAATCTGCAACAACAGGGTCACCATGTTTCTCTTTCCCTTTCCCCTCTTCCTGGTTACCTTAATAAAAGATCAATATGCAAATTAACTATCACTTCTCTATACCCACAAAGCCACACTCACCAGCCAATCAGGAGCGAGTATGCAAATTAACCGCAATCAAGATGGCTGTGGCTATGGAGTGAGCAGGAGGCTTGGTTTTCCCCAGCAATGGAGGAAGTCAAGCTTTCCACATACCCTGATGGCCTGAGACCTACACTCAAGGCCACAAAGTTTCAATTATAGAATATACATAAATCCCAGATACCAGGGCCTCTGCTGGGGTAGCTGAGGGGCATGGCAGGCCTGCAAACCACCACAGGCCCCTCGCCCAGGCTGCCCCATGCCCCAAGGAAACCCCACCCTGATCCAGGATGCCCTTCAGGGCAAACCAACTGGCTCCCACCTGTGCACCAGGCCTCTATACTATCTAATAAAAGAGTAATATGCAAACTGACTGTTACTCCAACACACAAAATGGCTGCCCCTATGTGGTCAAAGATTCTGCCCCCATGTGGACACAAGATGGCCACCACAAGATGGCCAGCAGGGGAAGGCAATTGGGAGGGACCAGGCCTGCAAGGGAGGGCAGTTGGGGGCAATCAAGGGGAGGACAGTTAGGGGTGACTAGGCCAGCAGAGGAGGGAAGTTGGGGGTAACCGGGCCTGCAGGAAAGGGCAATTGGGGGGGACCCAGGCCTGCAGAGGAGAGCAGATGGGGAGGGACTAGGCCTGCAGGGGAAGGCAGTTAGGGGCAAACAGGCTGGCAGGAGAGCAGTTAGGCATCAATCAGGCTGGCAGGGGAGTGGTTAGGGTATGATCACACTGGCAGGCAGAAGTGATTAGGGACAATCAGGAAGGCAGGCAGGTGAGCAGTTGGGAGCCAGCAGTCCTGGATTGTGAGAGGGATGTCTGATTGCCCGTTTAGGCCCGATCCCGGTAGGATAATCAGTCAAATATCCCTCGAGGGGTCTCAGATTGCAGAGGGTGCACACTGGGCTGAAGGACACCTCCCCACCCCCATGCACAAATTTTGTGCACCAGGCCTCTAGTATGTATACATATGTATTGCTCTCAATGATTAAGTCCATAATACCTAATATTTTAGAATTCATCTTTTTTTATTTTTAAAAAAAATATGTTTCTATTGATTTTTAGAGATAGAGGAAAAGATAGGGAGAAACATGGATCAATTGCCTTCTGTACACATCCAGACTGGGGTCCATGCTCAACCAACTAAGCTACCGATATATGGGCTGGGCTGGAATTAATCTTTTAAGTAGAAGAAACTATTAAAAGGTTTGGTAAGCATAAGCAGATTACACCTTCTGATTCCCTTTAATTCACCTGAGTCTTTTATCTCTCAAAGTACTCTAAATGAATGATATAGGATCCCACCCTCTTATTTTTTTAAAAAAAGTGTCCAATAGTTCTACTTTTAAAAAATATATATATATATATTTTATTGATTTTTTTCTAGAGAGGAGGAGAGAGGGACAGAGAGCCAGAAACGTCGATGAGAGAGAAACATCGACCAGCCATCTCCTGCACACCCCCCACTGGGGATGTGCCCGCAACCAATGTACAAGCCCTTGACTGGAATCGAACATGGGACCTCTCAGTCCGCAGACCGACGCTCTACCACTGAGACAAACCAGTTTCGGCAGTTCTACTCTTATATTATGTCAGCTTGCCTGATAAGAGAGGGAATCATTTCCCTCTTTAACCATTTCTCAAATATTATTCTAGTCTCTCAGCACTTTTATGCAGTTAGCCTACGTTAATTTATATTTATGTTGAGTAACTTTTAAAAGTGTAATTTTTGCTTCTATGTTTGTATGTTTCTCAGGATGATTATAAATCTTTTTTTTAAAAAATATATTTTATTGATTTTGTACAGAGAGGAAGGGAGAGAGACAGAGAGTTAGAAACATCGATGAGAGAGAGTCATCAATCAACTGCCTCTTGCACACCCCCTACTGGGGATATGCCCGCAACCAAGGTACATGCCCTTGACTGGAATCGAACCCGGGACCCTTCAGTCCCCAAGCCGACTCTCTATCCATTGAGCCAAACCGGTCTCGGCAGGATGATTATAAATCTTTTAGAAAGAACATGATCTTTTTCTTTAAAAAAAAAAATTCTACTCCAAACATGAGCTCTGCTCGTAGTGCATGTTTCATATATATTTTGGGCTGAAATAATTCATAACTCTGCCAGAATAGATTAAAACCAGAAAAAATTTTCAAGTTAATCACTCTATTGACTTAATAGTTCTGGTAACAGGTATTTTGGGAGATAATGTTGAGGCTATTTCCCCAATGGATTATTTTGATTATTCATAGAGTCAGGTTTATCATAATCCCTCTCCTTCTGGATAATAATGAGTTAGTGTTCCTACCAGAGTATCCAAATGAAAATAATCAATCCCTTTTGGAACACAATCTAACCAGATCCTATTTCATAGGAAAAGACTGTCCCAAGAATATAGGATATAGAAAAGATAAAAAGAAAGACCAATTATGAGCATCCTAAATGTTCTTGTACAGATTCTTAGAATGATAGCCTATTAAAATAATTTTTTAAGTTGTGCACTTTGTGTCCCATAGTAGCTTATTCTATAAAGTCTTCCAATTTGTTTCAAAGTAAATTATGTTAAAATAAGGATCGTTTGTAATTCCTGTAATTTTGGAAACACATAGTTCAAATTATTTGTAAGTTGCTTGTTTTGTTTTATGACCTATTATGAATACCTTTTCTTATATTATCAAATATTCTTCTTCATTATATGTTCTGCCTTCATGGAATTTCACTGAATGGATGATTTGTAATATACTTAATTAACCTCTTATTTTGGGGCACTTAGGTAGTTGATAATATTTTATTGTTATGAAAACTCCATGATGAATATTTGTATAAGTTAAATGCATGATTACTGCCTGGAAAGTTTCTGTAAGTGAAACTCCTTGAACAGAGCATATGAGGCCTTGATATGCATTGGAAAATAGCTGCACACCCCTCCCTTTCCATCAAACTAAAGTCTGTACCAGTTCCTACTCATACCACTCACAGTGTATCTGTCACAAGCCTACCTCTGTGCATCTCTATCAGTATTGTGTATAGTCTTTAAAAATATTGCCAATATTATAGAAGGACTATATCTCATCATGTACTTTAATTTGCAACTTATCACTGAATTTGAATATTTTACCCATTTTCTATTTATTCTTTTGTTAATGACTTATAAAATGCCCTCTATATTTTAAGGTTATTAATCTACTGCCTATCATAGTCTCCATGCTGAAGATATTAATTTTTATTAGCCTAGTCGATCGATCTTTACCTCAGTAATTTCTCCTGGCCTAAAGTCTTTTTTCTGAACAGCAGCCAAATGCACATACTGGTTGAGACATCTCCTCTCTATTCCTCTATTAAGAATCCCTAGGGGCTGGAATTGTGGGGTCATGTGACTTCTGAGTGGAAAAGGGACACTAAAGGATCAGAAGTTATGAAGCCTACAGCTCAGACTCACCTATACTTCGGAGTTTTTAAGAGATATTCTAATTCATGTGCCAGGATACGTATTTATTTGGAATTTAGGCTTAGCCAGGAATGAAAATCCCTTTGTTGATTCAACTGGAAAAAGGCAAGCACAGCTTGAGAACAGTAAAGGGAAACTGGCTCAGTTTATTTTTCCATGCAGAGAAATTTTGTCCTAATAAGGTAAAACAGCAAAGCCCACCAACTCCCTTCATTTATTTCCTGGCCAGAAAAGTCTGCCTGATGTCTTTCTACCTGCAACACAGAGCTACTAATCTGCTGAGAATGTTTGTCCAGGGAGCTGACAGACACACTCCCTCTGACTTTAACTGAAAGCAGCTCCTTAAACATATACTCCACATCTCATCTGGCCACCAAAACATCAGAAGCCATTTTCAAATGGGGCTGAAAAAAGGGAGCTGCTGGCCAAGATCTATCAGTGCAGACAGGGTCTGTGTTTAGCTGTTGCCACAAACCCTCCACCCAATGAGCACTGCATGAAATGCTTGGTGATGTGAAACGTCTCTCCATCCTCCCTATTCTCACTGTGGAGTGTAACTTAAAAGCAATAAAATGCTGGGCTTTTTAAAATTGATTAACAGATGTGATTTTGCATACCTCTTCCATAAATGCTCTGGCTGGTTCCATACCACTCATTGATTACCAGGGTTCAGTTTACAGCAGCTAATTGCTCTCCTCGCTGGTGTTTTGATACAAAATTCAATAGTAAGTATGTTTTCAAAACTCTTGTCTTTGTGGCTTGAGTCAGAAGTGACTTGAGGCAAACCCAGTGGACTGAGTTTTCCCTTCTTTAAAATAATTGCTCTCTCATCAGTCTGTGAAGAAAGTTTCCAAATTGTAGCATTCTAATTGGAAAGCCTGCATTATGCATGCGATGACAAACTATGTTGTGCTGAATGGCGTTTTTTTTTTATTTTTTATCCCTTTCTTAAGGGATTAATTTTGTGCCAGACTGTGAACAATGGCTAAGTTTAAGAGTTGAGATCAACAGCTTTTCCACGGAATGGTGTCTTTTAAAACAGGAGCCAAGTGTCTGTTTTGCTAACTGTCCACTGTTTGGGGGAGGTTCCACTGGAAGGCCTGAGGCCCTGACTGCTGCTGTTGCAGTTTTCTCATTTGGTTGAAAACACACAATGAAAGGAAGATCAACTGTCAGGTTGTTGGTAATAGAATAACTTATCACCAAGCCCATTTCTAATATCTCAGGCAAAATCAATTATGACCTCAAGTATTTGTATAGATA